TATATATTTATCTATATATTATACATGTATATAACATTCTAACTATTTGTTTTCTAAATTTATCACAGTCACCACCATCACCCATGGAAGACAGTGATATTGCGCCAGGAGAGAGTGCCGAGGAAATACTCGCTGACGGGCAGGATCTGGAAGAGAACTCAGGAGTCAGCTCTGGTTTAGAGGGAGCTCAGGGCGAAAAACTTGGTTTAGAGAGAGCACAGACCGAACAACCTGGTTTGGAGGAAGCACAGGATAGTAGTGTTGCGGATGAGAGCCTACCGGAGACCGGTGAGGAAGTAGTGCAGAGTGAGGAATCAGTGACAGACGGTGATGCACAAATGCAGGAGACCCGTCCCGATATAGTCACAGTGAATACCGGTACGTCGCAGACGGAACCCCAGGGCGATACAGAGCAAGCGGTGGGTGGTGAGGAAATAGTGTTAGGAGATGTTGAGTCGGAAGATGGTGACGAAATAACGGGTGACGAAATAATGGGTGATGAGAAATTAACGAGTGCTGAAACGGTGCTGGGCGATGGGCCTGGGCGTGTTGACACTGGGTACATGGGAATGCTGAGTGCGAATGGGCCATACACCCAGGACGAGGTAGCAGGAGATGAGGAACTAGTGGATGATGAGAAATTAACGGGTGATGCGAATTTAATGGATGGTGATATTTTTACGGAAGATGAGAAATTAATGGGTGATGAGGAAATAGTGAGTGATGAGAAATTAATAGGTGGTGATATATTAGTGGGTGATGATGAACTAGTTGGCGGTGTGCTAAGCTTGGAGAATGGTGATAGCGCAGACACACTGGCCCAGGCTGAACGCATGCCCAGCCCAGTCGGAAGCACACCCGAGACAGGACTCAAAAACGAGGACAAAGAGGCCGAAAGGGATGAAAACGGGCCCGAAACGGATGGAGGTGCGCCTCAAAATCAGGCCGGAGGACCGGAGGTCGCCGGCAGCACCGCAGCACTTGCGGGTGCCGCGCCGGGAAGTGGTACGGCTGGTGTGGCTGAGGACAAGGCAGACGGTCCGGTTGACAGTGATGCAGATGCAGATGATGAAGATGATGAAGAAAAAGAGGCCGAGGAAATGCCCCATGGCTTGGAAGAGGGAGACACGGAGGAAACTGACCACAGCCGCAAGATGTTCTTTATCTTTGTAGTATTGGCGCTGTGTGTTGGGGTGGTACACGCACTCATCACGCTAGATTTCCATTGGCTACCTGAGTCTATCGCTGTGATCTTGGTGGGGTATGTATATATGTATGTGTACACGTATATATATATATATATATATATCGATATCTATATATATATATATATATATATATATACATGTATATATATATATATGTATATGTATAATTTATATATATATATATATTATGTATATATATATATATTTATATATATATGTATATATATATATGTATGTATATGTATATAAGTATATGTATATGTATATGTATATATGTATATATATAATATTATGTTTGAATACATACTCATAGATCTTGCTACACACGCTTACCCACACATTCTTACACCTACTGTCCCAACTGCACATACATACACCTACCCTTTCCACACTCTCAATAGGCATAAAGAATACTGTACTGTTTCCCTGGGACGACAATTAGAAGCAAGCACAGCACCGTGCACTCACTCTTTTCTCTTTGGTGGTTCTTTGCCCGTTGTTAAGCTACATACACACACGACCTAGTCTGCTGAGACGATCTATTCTTATCCTACTATACGTATACTGTTCTGTACGTCCAGTCATCTGTGCAAACCTGAACGTACCCACAACCAGCATGTATATTTTATGAACGGCTACCTCTCGTATATAGGTAGGTATGGCTAGGCACATATATAGGTAGGTAGGTAAAGGCAAGTAACCTGTACATACGCACAACTAGCATGTCCATAGCTTCATCGGCAGTTATCTCACATACATAGGTAGGTAGGTATAGGCACAAACCCACCAATATTAACCTATATTTACCCACAACCACCATGTCCATAGCTTCATCAGCAGATATCTCACATACATAGGTAGGTAGGTATAGGCACACACTCACCAGTATTAACCTGTACTTAACCACAACCAGCATGTTCATAGCTTCATCAGCAGTTATCTCACATACATAGGTAGGTAGGTATAGGCACACACTCACCAGTATTAACCTGTACTTACCCACAACCTCCATGTCCATAGCTTCATCAGCACTTATCTCACATACATAGGTAGGTAAGTATAGGCACACACTCACCAGTACTAACCTGTACTTACCCACAACCACCATGTTCATAGCTTCATCAGCAGATATCTCACATACATAGGTAGGTAGGTATAGGCACACACTCACCAGTATTAACCTGTACTTAACCACAACCAGCATGTTCATAGCTTCATCAGCAGTTATCTCACATACATAGGTAGGTAGGTATAGGCATACACTCATCAGTACTAACCTGTACTTCCCCACAACCAGCATGTTCATCGGCCTCTGCACCTCGTCACTCGGTGACAACTGGAAGAAAGAGGAGACTCTTGCACCTACGGCATTTTTTTTTGGTCCTTTTGCCCCCAATTATCTTCGAGTCCGGTTATTCGCTGCACAAGGGCAACTTCTTCCGTAACATCGGAACCATACTGACGTTCGCTGTGGCGGGAACACTTCTGTCGGCCTTTCTAATAGGCGTATCGCTGTATGTGTTGGGGAGTGTAGGGCTTAGTTACTCCATGAGCTTCATCCATTGCCTGGTGTTTGGGTCCCTCATCTCGGCCATCGATCCAGGTGTGCGTATTCGTCTCCCTGTGTGGGTATCCTTATATGAGCACATATATGTATATATATATATATATATATATATATATAATATATATATATATATATATGTGTGTGTGTGTGTGTGTGTGTGTGTGTGTGTGTGTGTGTGTTGTATATATATATATATATATATATATATATATATATATATATATATATTATATTATATTATAAT